TTTGGCACTATAAAAAGGGGTGTTTGGGTCTGCTTTTCTCATCAATTCACTTCACATTACTCCTATTATCATTGCATTCAAACAACATCATTTTCCATAGCTTTCTAGAGCCAATTTGTGTGAAGTTTGAGTTGTTCTTGAGCGTACTTAGTTTACTCATCATCTACTCTTAAAGAGAGTCTTGTTCTTGAGTGTTTAAGTGTTGTATACACGTTAAGGGAAGCTTGTTTCCCTTGGTTGTACGAAGGAAAGGTATTTTCCTTCGGGTTGAAGTCTTGGAGTGCGGTATCTCCGAGCAAGTGTTGTTGAGGCTCGTGGGACTCGAGTTCTCAGGTTGTAACGGTTTGTTAAGCACCCGTAAGCTTAATGGAAGTAGTTTAGCTCGAGAGAGTCTCTCGGGAGACTGGATTAGCCACACGTTGTGGTGAACTAGTATAAATCTTGGTGTGCTCCCTTTACGCTTTCTACGCTCTTTATTTTTCACGTTCTTAATTTTTTTTATTCCTGCGATTTCTATGATCAAACGCTATTCACCCCCCTCTAGCGTTGGTCACTTATTCTAACAATGACGTGGTGTTTGATTCTGATATGCTATTTTTCTGGAGTCTGGAAGCACGCGTACCAGTCAATCTGGCAACTTTTGTTGCTCGATTCCTATTTGCCCAGTCAACTTGCAACCACCAGTTTGTCTTGTGTGGGCCAATGGTTACACTTCTGGCCCGAGGATTATGTATGACAGTCCCCCATGTTCTCCCAGAAGCCGCAAGCATGTTCCGACCGCCGACAAGGTATTTGACCCAGATTGCTTATAATAAGGAGGACAAGGAGGCACGCCCCAGAAAGCAACATACAATTCCCATGACCCTTCATGAGCTTTCACAGGCTATGTTTGCATTCCAGGATTCTGTGGACTCTCGCTTGAGGAGCATGGAGACGCTCCTTCTTGTGCAACAATGGCAGGTGGAGGAAATACTTGAATACACCCGGGAACAAGGAACAAAGAAGGCTGAGCATGGGGCAGGTCCTAAACAAGGCAAACGTCAGGGATAGTGAGATCCCTAATTTCTTAATACTGCATTCAGAACATCATTTTTGGATAATTATATGATCTTATTTTAGAATTTCACATTATGACTCTTAAACCCATTTTGAGAAAATTTTATGCATTATTTCATATTTACATGTTATGGTTATCTAATTATTTCAATCTTCATCGTTGAATCTTGTAAGTATTGAGATAACTTAGTAATTGCATGTGGACATTTCAACCATTAACTCTAATTCTGAAACACCTTTAACCACGAGGGCGTGGTTCCGTTTGAGTGTGAGGAGGTAAGAGTTCGTGGTTGAAATGATCTTTTTAGGAATTGTTTTGTCTATATATTTGTAGGAAAAGATTTTATAAAATATTCATCAATTTTATTGGTTTGATTAATTAATCTTTAGTTGTCACCCATAAAAATTGGAAATTTTTAAAATTTTTGTCAAACTTTTATTTTTACTCTAACCTTTTGGGAATGTTTTCTAAAATGATTTGGGATAAATTCACAATTTATTAAGAGTTTTTTTAGATCAATTAATTTTTAAGTGCTTTATTGAAAATCTTTTTGCTGATTCTCTTATGAGTATTTGTTGTTTCTTAAAAAGAGTTATTTTCAAAGTATAAGGGGTGATGTTTCAAAGCATACTTTGGTGAGACCGAGATTCTTGTTTTAGCCAAAAAGTAGTTGGTTCTAGGTCAACTAATAAGGCGTGGTGAGTATGCCGAAAAGCACGTGGTTCTATATTGCGTGATGAGGCCTTTTGAGTGTTAGAGTCAAAAAGCATGCGGTTCTATATCGTGTGATGAGACTTTCCAGAGTGAATATCCAAAAAGGTCGTGGTTCCATGTCACGGGATGAGGTTATAATTTTTCTCGTGTCAACATGACAAAGTTATGCCAAAGAAAATTAAACCCTTACACTTTGACAAATACTTTTGCAAGAACATGTTTTCCAATTTAGTCATTAAAAAAAATTATTTGATCTTTAAAGTACTCTTACAAATGTAGTTATCCCAAAGAAAGTTTGGAAAATTATGGTTGTTTAGGTTGGTGTAAAAATATTGGTTTGCCAAAATTCTTTTACATTTCTAACAATATGGGTGAGAATCTAAAGGTTCATTTCTTCTTAACAAAAAGGTTGATGACTATCTTATTTCTTTTTTTTTCCTTCATAATATGTAGCTTAAACCTTCCCTCTGCAATTATTAATTTGCCTTTATACTTGTAATTATTCAATTTGTTGCTTGAGGGCAAGCAACGTTTAAGTGTGAGGAATTTGATAAGTCCATTTCGTTCTTATCATTTACATCATATTCTAAACGTTATTGCACATAAATAATATTTAATCATCTCATAAAATGTGATTTTGATGGATAAAACTCTCATTTTTGTTCTAAGAGTCATAGATAGGGATTCCACATAAAATCATCATAAATTATCTATTTTATGTTCAAATGCTCTAGAAAAAGGGAATAAATCATCAAAGGATCAAGTTTCGGGCTTGAACGAGCTTCCGAGAAGATAAAATCGACATTCGGGCCGAAAATCAGTGAAATGGGGCCAAGATCTCGTAACAGCCGCGAAGCCCAATGGACCAAGGCCTCAAGGCGTCCAACTTGGATGCTTGGCCAAGTTGGACGCTTGGAGTTGGACGCCTTGGCTGGATTGCAAATCAAGGAAGCCACGTGGCAAGCAGCGAATGGACGGGCCGCGTAAGGCGTCCAACCTTGGACGCTTTGGATCCGGACGCTTTGACTTGGACGCCTCGGCCTCTGTCCTATAAATACAGCGCGACTCTCCCCATTCAACACATCACTTTCACTCCCATTTTCGGGAATTAAGCTTTATATTCCAGTTCCAAATATTAGTTTAGCATTTTAGTAGTTTTAGAGTAATTTTTGGAGGAATTCTACTCCCGATCAGTTCTGTTCCGCTTTTACGGAAGTTGTAAGTTTTCTTTATTTAATAAAATGCTGTCTTAATTCATGTTTGCATAGTATGAGTTAGGGTCAGGATCTCTAGGTCCGGTCTAGTTTGGTTGTTTATTTTCTTATATTAAATTAATGTTGGAATGGTTAGTACATTGTTCTTGCCTTATTTAGTTAATTAATATCGGAAGATTTAATTAGCTATTTATTGAGAAAATATTGTATGTCAATTGACTATGATATTCAAGTGCAACAGGTTAAGTACAAATCTAGAAATGGATGAGTAGTAATAGAAGTATTATTATTCCAATTGTTAATTTAATATGATAAAATAGATCCAGATGATGTCTTGACCCTAGGTCTAGATCTATACTTATACTATGTAAACTTAATTTATTATTTTTACTCTACCCCCTTTTTATTCGTTTCGAGAAGACTTTCATAAACCAATCCTAACCTTCGCCTAGTTAGAGTAATTAAACTAATTCCCTTCGTCCACTCCTCGAGAGATACGACACTCGGAGAGAAAACTAACCCTTTACTGGGAAGGTTTACTACCCGAAAAACTACAATTGTCACTAACTACTTATCGTTATTCTATCATGTATAGGCAGATATATAATACTTTTACACTTCTCATTCTAATGTAAACAAATATTATATTCCTAGATTTATATTTAAAGATGTTTATCAGATAGTGTTATTCTACTGATGAGACTAACATCTTGAAATAAATATTTATTTGAATGTGCCTAGTCGAGTATTAACGAGAGTAGGATATCGTTAATGCATGTGAGACTAGTGTGTGTTGGATGTTTGACTTAGTCTCATAGTCAATGACGGTGTGTTCGCATCTGCACATGGGAAGATATTATCTGGAGATAATAAGATGCCGGACTGACCCATCCTAAAGATGTTGCTTGAACTTTTAGTTCATGCTCTAAGAATCTTTAGAGCGACCACGGGTGTAACTATCCTTCGACTTGAAGTATTACGTTTTTGGCATATGTGAACCCGCATGCTTTGATGCATTGTCCTACAATATATGAAATAAAGATGGTATAAAGGCTTTGTTTTGGGTATGCCGTAGCGCGTATTCAAAAACATATATTACGTACATAGGATTTGTCATTACTCTTTTTAAGAGATTAATGTCTTATGGGGCCCACTAATAAGTTATGACTGAGGAAATTCCATGGCCATGCTGAGATGTTTTTATGACGTATGTGTTAGAATAAATGCCCTTCACTAGAGGCGGGGTGAATAGTGAGGCACGGGAATGTTTATAAATTTTTGCGGAATAAAAATCGCAGGGATAAAGTAAAGAGCGGAATAAAAAAGCGTAAGGAAAGAACACACCGATTTTACCCTGATTCACCACAACGTGTGGCTAGTCCAGCCTCCCGAGAGACTCTCTCTCAAGCTACACTACTTCCGTTAAGCTTACGGGTGCTTAACAAATCGTTACAACCTGAGAACTCGAGTCCCACGAGCCTCAACAAACCTTCAAAGGAAACAACCCTTCCCTCGAACTAATCAAGAGAAAACCTTTCTCTTATCAAGTGTCTAAAAACACTAAATCACTCAAGAACAATACTCTCTTTTAGAGTGAATATGAGTAAGACAATTTAGATCAAGAACACACTCAATTCCTCAAGAAATGACTCTAAAAAGCTATGTAAAAAGTTTATGGAATGATGCAATGTAAAGCTATGAAATGTGTGAGAAATGGTTGTAAAAAGTAGACCCAAGAGACCCCCTTTTATACCCAAAAACAAGGTGCAACGGTTGGGAGAAGATTGGGGTTGATTAGTGACAATCGTAGTTTTTCGGGTAGTAAACCTTCCCGGTAAAGGGTTAGTTTTCTCTCCGAGTGTCGTATCTCTCGAGGAGTGGATAAAGGGAATCAGTTTAATTACTCTAACTAGACGAAGATTAGGATTGGTTTATGAAAGTCTTCTCGGAACGAATATAGAAGGAGCGGAGTAAAAATAATAAATAAATTTCACATAGTATAGGTATAGATCTGGACCTATGGTCTGGACATCATTTGGATCTACTTTATCATATTAAATTAACAATTGGAATAATAATATTTCTATTACTACTCAACCATCCCTAGATTTGTACTTAATCTGTTGCAATTGAATATCATAGCCATTTGACATACAATATTTTCTCAATAAATGGCCAATTAAACTTTACGAGTTTCATTAACCAAATAAGGCAAGAACAATAGATTAACCATTCCAACATTAATTTAACATCAAAAGTAACCGACCAAACTAGTCCAGACCTAGAGATCCGGACCCTAACTCATACTATACAAACATAAATTAAAACAGCATTTTATTCTAAAACTACTAGAATGCTAAACTAGAACTTGGAACTGAAATATGAAGCTCTAATCCCGAGAATGGGACTGAAAGTGATGGTTGGAATGAGGTGAATCGCGCTGTATTTATAGGACAAAGGCCGAGGCGTCCAACTCCCAAGCGTCCAACTTGGCCAGGCGTCCAAGTTGGACGCCTTGGGCCCTAGTCCGTTTGGGCTTCGCGGCTGTGCGAGATCTTGGCCCAATTTTGCTGCTTTTTGGCCCGAACGTGGATTTTAACCTCCCGGAAGCTCGTTCAAGGCCAAATCTTGATCCTTTGATGATTTATTCCTTTTCCTCAAGTACTTGAACATAAAATGGATGATTTATGATGATTTTAAGTGGAATCCCTTTTTATGACTCTTAGAACGAAAAAAAATGAGAGTTTTATTCCTCGAAATCACATTTTATAAGATGATTAAATATTATTTACGTGCAATAGCGTCTAGAATATGATGTAAATGATAAGAACGAAACGGACTTTTCAAATTCCTCACACTTAAATGTTGCTTGCCCTCAAGCAACAAGTTGAATAATTACAAATATAAAGGCAAATTAATAATTGCAGAGGGAAGGTAGTTTAAGCTACATATTATGAAGGAAAGAAGAAATAAGATAGCCATCAACCTTTTTGTTAAGAAGAAATGAGCCTTTAGATTCTCACCCAAATTGTTAGAAATGTAAAAGAATTTTGTCAAACCAATATTTTTACACAAACCTAAACAACCAAAATTTTCCAAACTTTCCTTTGGATAACTACATTTATAAGAGTACTTTAAAGATCAAATAGTTTTTAATGGCTAAATTGGAAAACATGTTCTTGCAAAAGTATTAGTCAAAGTATAAGGGTTTAATTTTCTTTGGCATAACTTTGTCATGTTGACACAAGAAAAATTTATAACCTCATCCCGTGACATAGAACCACGAGCTTTTTGGATATTCACTCTAGAAAGTCTCATCACGTGACATAGAACCGCATGCTTTTTGACTATAACACTCAAAAGGCCTCATCACGCAATATAGAACCACGTGCTTTTTGCCATACGCACCATGCCTCATCAGTTGACCTCGAACCAACTGCTTTTTGGCTAAAACAAGAATCTCGGTCTCGCCAAAGTATGTTTTGAAACATCACCACTTATACTTTGAAAATAACTCTTTTTAAGAACCAACAAATACTCATAGCTCGAAAGATAGAGGAGTATTTGCAAAAAGATTTTCAATAAAGCAGCTAAAAATTGATTGATCTTAAAAACTCTTAGTCAGTTGTGAATTTATCCCAAATCATTTTAGAAAACATTCCCACAAGGTTAGAGTAAAAATATAAATTTGGCAAAAAAGTTTAAAAATTTCCAATTTTACGGGTGATAACTAAAGTTTTAGTTAATCAAACAATTAAAATTAATGACTATTCTATAAAAATCCATTTCTACAAATATATAGACAAAACAATTCCTAAAAAGATCATTTCAACTAAGAACTCTTGCCTCCTCACACTTAAACGAAACCACGCCCTCGTGGTTAAGAGTGTTTTTGAATCGGAGTTAATGGTTGAAATGCTCACATGCAATTACTAAGTTATATCAATACTTACAAGATTTAATAATGAAGATTGAAATAAGAGATAACCATCACATGTAAATATGAAATAATGCATAGAATATTCTCAAAATGGTTTTAAGAGTCATAAAAGTGGAATTCCACAATAAAATCATATAAATATCCAAAATAATGTTCTGAATGCAGTAATAGGAAAATTAGGGATCTCACTATCCATGACGTTTGCCTTGCTTAGAACCAACCTCATGCTCCGTTTTCTTCATTCCCTGTTCTCGGATGTGACCTAGTATTTCCTCCACCTGCCACTGCTGGGTGAGAAGGAGCGTCTCTATGCTCCTCAAATGAGAGTCCACAGAATTTTAGAATGCAAACATAGCCTAAGAAAGCTCGCGGAGAGACATAGGAATGGTATGCTGCGGTCTTGGACGTGCCTCCTTGTCTTCCTTATTGTAGGCAATCTGGGCCAAATACCCTGTCGGTGGTCGGAACATGCTTGCAGATTCTAGAAGAACATCGTGAACTGCCATACGTAATCCTCAAGCCAGGAGTGTAACCATTGGCCCACACAAGACAAACTGGCGGTCGCAAGTAGACTGAGCAAACAAGAATTGAGCCACAAAGGTTGCTAAATTGACTGGTACGCGTGCCTCCAAACTCCAGAAAAACAGCATATCAGACTCAAACACCACGTCAGGGCCGTGAGAACGACTGAAATAGCTGTGAGCCAATGCATGGTGCAAAATTCTCCAAGACGGACGTGCCGAATTCCTAGCTAGGCTTGCTCCACTGTGAAATCGTCCATGCCCGTGAGCTTGCCAGAACTTCTTAACATTGAATTCTGGATCTAACTGGTTGGGCAAATCGGCAAAGGCTAGGCTCCGCGTTTCATCGAGCGTGTATAGACCGATCAACCACCCTAAGTCCGCCAAAGTTAGGTTCAGCAGTCGACCCATCAGAGTGAATGTGACCCTTGAAGTGGAGGTGACTTCTGAACCTGATTTTGCCTCTTCTCCGTCATTGAGGAAGCGAAGAGAACATAGAAACTCAGTGGTGGCTTCCAGGCTGGCTGGTGCATGCAAGAATAGCAGGATTCTCCATTTTGGGTCATACAGTAAGTCATCAATGTCCTGCCATTGCCCTAGCTCATCCAGATAAGTAGGGTCCAACACCATGAGGGGCTGGATTATCTTAGTGTTTCCCCAAGTGAGAAACTTCTTTTTCGCTTCCTCTTAATGCAAAGGGAGCTCTTCCATGTTTTGTAATGTGCAGCGGTTTCCATGCGGAATCATCTAAGCAACATCCATTTGTGGAATAGAAATATAAAACGAGTAAAACCTTGCCCCCAACTGGTGTGTCAAGTAAATAACAAATAAGCATATTTATTAATTTAGTTATCTGAATGACAGGTTGCCTCCCGTTAAGTACTTCTTTAATGTCCGTAGCTTGACGCCTTAGCTACTTTTTCCGTGACTTTCCGATCCGAGAGTCATAAAGTTTGGCCTTTTCGACTCTCTTCTGATGCCACCTTGTTTGAATTTTTGTTCGGTCAAGGTTCAGAATCCTTGACTCATTCCTGCGGTTTGGTGGCGACAGGATATATGGAGGAGACTTTGTATTGATTGGTGGTGGCGGAAGTCTCCTCAAGTGATCCACATCATTTTACTTTATAGCGAGATTGATTTCTTCTTTGTCTTCAATGGGCGGACTATCCAATTGTGGTTTGATGATTACGACCGTGCTTTCCCCCATGGATGAGTCTTCAGTGTCACTTACCAGAAATTCATCCCAACTCTTTTGGATCCAACTATCCTTCGGGCAGATAAAGTCGCACCCGTCAAGTAGGGAGTCAAAGAAAGTTTGGTCTAAGTCTTCTGATGAAACATGATTATCTATAGACGTTATTGGTTCCTCTATGCTAGGTATTTCTTCATCTATAGATTCCTCCTCACACTCTTGAACGTTGGAATCTTGGGGGTAGGTAGTGGGCTCTATCTCCTCGAGAACAGGTTCCTCTGGAGGTGTGTCTTCAACACAATTAAGGAGATGGTCGTTTATTGCCATAGGCAAAACTTCCTCCTCCTTCTATTCTTGAATAAGCATAGGTGGTTCTGAGTCAGGTCGCTCAGTTGGTTCCACCTCATGTACGACTATGCTGGTTTAGACTTGGCTTGGAGGGTATTCAGGTAACATTACCATAGTAGCCCTAGCGAGAGTTGTTATGCTCTCGGATCTCTGTGAAAGTGTTGGTCTGGGTGAATCTTCTAGAATTGGGACCTGGTGGTTGAGTGGTTCTGGGTTGGTCTTAAGTGATAGAGCCTTGTTTTGAACATTAATCTCCCTCATTTTATCTTGAGATTGGAGGGAGCGTTTAAGTTCAACAACCTTATAGAGATCATTGACAAATTTATCAGCTTTAGCCTCGGCTTCTAGTCTCTCTCTTTGGAAATTATCCAGCATCTTCTGCATCATATTTGATCCTTCGCATAATCTCCTTTCGAACTCCTTTTCCGTCCGGACTGATTCAATAAGTTTTGCTCTTTCTCGAATTGCCACCTAGTTTGCTTCAATTTGTTCTTCAGCAAACAGGGTGTAGTCACGGTAGTAAGGTAGTTCGTACCAGGAGCCTTCGGCGAATAAAACCTCGTCGAAATGGAAGATTTTCTGTTCTAATCTTATTATTTCTTCGACGAGCGGGTCAGATTGATTGTCGTGCATTGGCCCATATTGGTCATAGTCATCGTTATCTCCATGAGGTTCATAATAATCATGCCCGTCAGTGTCTCGGGTATGGAGAATATCCAAAGTTCCTAGACGGGAATATCATATGGTGGTTCCTCATGGTAGGGATAGTAGTCAGATCTATTGTTGACTTGGTAGGCATTATCATATGGGTACTGATGTGGGTGGTAGGGTGGATAGGTTTGAAACGGAGGGCGGTTGGGTGATTGGTAGAAAGAAGGCGAACCGTAAAAACCACTGGAGTTATCCATAATAATTATTACGGGTGGTTGGTGAAAAAGAAGTTAGAAGATCGTTCTAACCAATCTTCACCCAAGCTAATTAGAAGAAATTAAACTAATGTCGTGTCACTCCCCGACAACGGCGCCATTTAACAATCGTAGTTTTTCGGATAGTAAACCTTCCGAGTAAAAGGTTAGTTTTCTCTCCGAGTGTCGTATCTCTCGAGGAGTGGACGAAGGGAATCAGTTTAATTACTCTAACTAGGCGAAGATTAGGATTGGTTTATGAAAGTCTTCTCGGAACGAATATATATGGAGCGGAGTAAAAATAATAAATAAATTTCACATAGTATAAGTATAGATCTGGACCTATGGTCTGGACATCATTTGGATCTACTTTATCATATTAAATTAATAATTGGAATAATAATATTTCTATTACTACTCATCCATCTCTAGATTTGTACTTAATCTGTTGCACTTGAATATCATAGCCATTTGACACACAATATTTTCTCAATAAATGGCCAATTAAATCTTACGAGTTTAATTAACCAAATAAGGCAAGAACAATAAATTAACCATTACAACATTAATTTAACATCAAAAGTAACCGACCAAACTAGTCCGGACTTAGAGATCCGGACCCTAACTCATACTATGCAAACATAAATTAAAACAGCATTTTATTGAATAAAAGAAATTTACAACTTCCGTACAAGCGTATTTGAACAGATCGAGAGCAGAATTTTCTCCAAAAATTATTCTAAAACTTCTAGAATGCTAAACTAGAACTTGGAACTGAAATATGAAGCTCTAATCCCGAGAATGGGACTGAAAGTGATGGTTTGAATGAGGTGAATCACACTGTATTTATAGGACATATGCCGAGGCGTCCAAGTAGAAGCGTCCAAGTCCAGGCGTCCAGATCGGGACGCTTGAGCTGCTCCGGCCAACCAGGTTTTGCCACATGTCTTCCTTAGACTGCAATCCAGCCAAGGCGTCCAACTCCCAAGTGTCCAACTTGGCCAAGCGTCCAAGTTGGACGCCTTAGGCCTTGGTCTGTTTGAGCTTCGCGGCTGGTGCGAGATCTTGGCCCAATTTCGCTGCTTTTTGGCCCGAACATGGATTTTAACCTCCCGGAAGCTCGTTCAAGGCCAAATCTTGATCCTTTGATAATTTATTTCTTTTCCTCAAGTGCTTGAGCATAAAATGGATGATTTATGATGATTTTAAGTGGAATCCCTTTTTATGACTCTTAGAACGAAAATGAGAGTTTTATTCCTCGAAATCACATTTTATAAGATGATTAAATATTATTTACGCGCAATAACGTCTAGAATATGATGTAAATGATAAGAACGAAACGGACTTATCAATTAGCTTGATTTGTGGAAACAAAATAAAAGTGGATCTACTGAAATCTGGCCAGACAGCGCTGTTCACAAAGTGAACATCGCTGTTTTGGCTTTGACTTTCCTTTAAAAATGGCTAACGGTCATCAAAACATTGATGTCTAATAGTCTACATCGATGTTGGGGTGTTTGACATTCAAAAATGGGAAGATTTTGTCTTAAATAGCCCAACGGTCATTTGAAAACATCGTTGTTCAAAAACCTACTGCCCAAGACTTCTGAATGCCAACATCGCTGTTGGGAATTCCTACATACATGTTGGGCTGGTTCGCCAGAACCATGCTTTGGCTACCAACGCCGAAAACCAATGTCAAAACCATAGTTCTCCAAAATGAAAACCAAGTGTTGGAAACTCTTATAAAATGTATTTTATGTAGAAACCAAGTATAAAAAACTTAAAAACCACATCATTAAGGTAAAAACCACGGCTAGCCAAGTTTATGTCGTTTCACATGGTTTTCACCAAAAGACCAAAAACAAAAGGTGGTTTTTAACATGTTCTTGTTGTATAACTGTTTGGATATGCCCAGAAGTAAAAAAAAATCATAAAATATTAAAAACCACTTGATTGATTTGAACGCCAAAAACCAACACCGATAACCAGCACTGAATGCCGATAACCAACGCCAAAAAACAAAGGTTATGGTTTTTGAAAACTAATGATTTGGAAAACCTTTAAATGTGTCCAGAAGCAAAGACCAAAGATAAAAACCCAAAGACCATTTGGCCGAAATCAATGCCAATAACCAATGATGAAAACCGAATGCCATAGCCTAACGCCGATAACCGATGGTTATGGTTTTGGTTAGGCAAGAACCAGAGGTTTTAGAAACTTAAAATCATTTATGAAAACACTCATTTGATGCATGAAAAACATATTTTGTTTTGAGCCATGACTTAGAGAAATTGAGTGAGCTTCTTACAATAAAAACCTAGATATTTAAACAACGTCTTCAAAACGCCAATCTCGTCGTCTTTAGAAATGTCAATGCCTTTCTTGTGCTTTTTGTTCCTTCAAAGAGCTTTTTCTATGACTTTGAATCTTTTCATTTAGTCCCATGTTCCTGACGGTTTGTCAATATCAAAACCTAAACAGAAACAAGCATTGTCAAAACATCAATGTGAAAAGTGCTTTCTAACAATTTCTCCCTTTTTGATAATGACAAACCAAGGCAGGGATATGCAAGCCAAGTTGGGTTTTCAAAGAGAGAGTATTGGTTATTCCCCCTACGTCTTTGAAAACGTGATTCCCCTCACTTGTTGCATATACCCAAACACTTCCCCCTTTTGGCATTAGCAAAAAGCACTTAAAAAATATTGTAAGAATATACTCCTTGAACATCGATGTTTGATACTGAACATTGATGTTTTAAAATGTCCTGGAGTGATTTTCATTAGCCTTGGAGCTTTGGAACATCGATGTTTCTATTATAACATCGCTATTCGGATGTCTTCCACCCAAACTCGCCTACTTCCGGTTCCTCCTACATTCGTGTTGGGGTTCCTTCAAAGAATGATTTTAGGTACCCAATGTCTTTTTGGATCCTTTTGGGTTAAAAATAGTCCAATTGTTTGAAATAAAATATGTCATAATTGTCAAAAAATGTAGTAACGTAAAACGAACTTCCCCCTTGATGCGGTTCATTTGGTTTCGTGCTAAGAGCATCCACTACAATTTTGTAGTCTTCAAGCACACCCTTTTGTGCATCCAGTAATAACGTTTAGGTACCCAATAGCTTTTGGGTCCTTGAGGGTTAGAAAGATAATAATCATAGCTATAAAACAAATCCTTGAGTTTCGTAAAACAAACAGGTGCTATGTGACCTATCTTAGAGCAATAATGGCAAACTACATTTGGATTATGCATATGTCTAGGTTGAGCTAACAAATTTCTAGGTGATCTAAAGTCATTATTCCTAGAATTGTTAATTAAGTTCCTACACTCATTTTTAGGTTGTCTCAAATTATTCCTATCATTTATAAAACTCTTAAAGTCATTTCTAGGTTGTATCAACTTATTATTTTTATTCTTCC